TTTCGATACACTCCGTAGAGGCAAAAAGATTATGAAACACTGGTAATAATGTATTGCCAGCATGCAATTTCTTTTGTTCGTTCAACTCGCTAAAGGACAGCCGAGGCGATGGTTAAATCGAAACGGAAAGTAGGTTTTGTTCACTTAACAGAAACGCGATTTAACGATTACCGCCGCGGTTGTAGCGGTGCTTTTCAGACGATGAACACCTTTAACACATAGAAATCGAACACGACGAGATTACCAGTAGCAATCGTCCCTTTCACTTACGTTCGTGTACATTTAGTGTTATGCCAGTTATCGAATTATTAATATTAAATAGATAATCGTTACGTAATTTTAGTGAACATTGTATAAAAACCATTGTGCGTCATAATCAATGCATAATCATGCAATCATTAAAAGTGATTAATTGTGATAAAGATATGTACATTGTAAAATGTCATAAATTTTGTATATACAATGTTTGAATATTTAACACTTTGGTTCATCTATTCGTGACGCACCTGATTTTTAGCGTCATCGGTAAAAAAGACTGAAAGCTTAGAAATTGATATAACTATAAATGTAAATTATACAAACGTGCTGGTTGCAATACATTTGGTTGGGGAATAGATGTTAAAATTGATTCATAGAGGGACAGAAACAACCTTCGAAATAAGCAGATTCAGCGAAAGGTGAGGACGAGGAGAATTCGTCAAGGTTGAGTCGTTATGCAGGGTGTGGGGAAAAAAGTTGCAGTCAAACTTGAGAATCATGCTAGTGCCCATTCAAATAAATAAAAAAGATCTTAATATGAAGTGATGAACAGAATAACGATTAATCAGAAAAATTTTTAGATCTTTTGAAAAGCATTCAAGTTTTTTAGACACCATATGAATTTATGATGGAACTCGGGAACTCCCAGTCGTGATGAAGCATTTTCGTTTTTCCTTGTACGAGATCATTAAGTGAATCCTACGTTATGGCTCGTAATTGGTTTCGTGCTGGGGCTTTCTATAGTTAAGAGGTTCATTTGGAATTTTGGATAAAAACTTATAGCATTATTTGAATGTTGGTGACTTTCGCAAATTACCTTGAGAGTAGAGGGAGGTACAGTTTAATTTATTGACACTGATGAGGATTAATTGATTTGGGACTTTTTTTAAGCCTCAAGTTTAAAATAGCAAGGCTTAGGAGTACTCAAACTTAGAATACACATGGTTAGGAGCACTCAAGCGTAGAATAGCAAGGCTTAGGAGTACTCAAACTTGGGAATACTGAAGCTTAGAATACTAAAGCCTAGAGGTACTGAAGCTTAGAACAATAAAGCTTAAATATATCAAAGCTTAGAATATTAAAGCTTAAACCAAACTGTACATACCGAAACAGAAGATACGTGATCAACAGCCCACCTTTCCTTGCACCAAGAAAAGACATCCTTTCGCGTTCCCCATTGCGTGAAATTTTGAACCTTACCTGTATCATTTGCTGCAATCTGCTATATGGATCAAGATCCCTCTTCTTCCTCATCAATACGAAAATATTCCCAAGATTATGGCAACTGATCAACAACTTATAAATCAGAATCTTTCCCATGAATCCCGTGCCACCGGTGATGAAAACATTTCGGCCGTGAAACCACTCTGATATAGACGGTGCGTCTGATGCCATTTCCGGAAACGCTATGCAACAAAGAAAGGAACGATGAAACGAGTATGACAAAGAATCAGCTTAAAAATGAAAGAAAGAAATACGTAAAAAAAGAATTCACGATTTAACTAATTGTAAGAGTTGTTTTGCACTGGCAACGCCTTGCATGAATCAACGTGATATAAACAGAATCATATTCTTTTTTTATTATCATAAAAGCACGATTCAGGTATTTTTTGATCGAAAGAACGTTTCGTGAATGTTTTCTTGCAAGAAAGGAAAAAATATGATGGAAAAATTTAAAATACCTAATGGAAAATCTGATTCTCTCGATAGCTTCAGGAATATGAAATTATAAGAGGCATTGATTACAATGTGTTCGCAATGCAATATTTGTTAGTAATTTATTCTATTTCCGCGTAGTATTAACTTGTTTCTTTTAGACGCAAATGCTCGATCATACTAATTGCAAATAGTAAACAGAAAAAATGTAGAGATTATGCAGTGTTAATGATAATTTATTAGTCGATCAATTTCACATCTCGATATGTTAGGATTCTTCCTATGTTAGACATTTAACAAAATTGTAATTTGTTAATGAAAATTTCAAAAGACGAAGGTGTTCTTTGTTATTCATGAAACGACAGGAATACGTGATATTGCAAATAATTTTTTCTTCATTTCATTAGCAATTCACCGAAGTTTTAAGGTATTCCGTGTGTGTTACGAAAAGTTAGCCGAAATTTTGTCCCCATCCTTTCGTGCTTGGAATAAGTAAATCTATTGTATTTGATGTGTACTTATGGAACTTTGTTCTGTAGTGTTTAAAGAACATTATCCATAGTATTTCGTGAAACTTAAAATGGAACACTTGTACCTATTGAATTTTATATTTTATCACGTGTGAACATTTTGCCGACTAATCAGTTAGCAAAAGTAATCCAAGAATAAAATAAAAATAAAAAATAAAAGATATCGAAATATTAATTTCATCAAAATAGTAATGTTTGTAAAATGCACTAAGAACGTTTTGCTATACAGTGATATAATGCAAACAAATGAATGATTGAATTAGTTAATGAAACCGTTAAGATAAAGATTTACACGCATTATGTGTAATGTATTTACTTACGCAATGGAAAAGAAATGTACCACGCATGAATGTAACGATGTGACGTTCTCTATTTCTGAACAAGGTAAACCTCTGTCATTAATTGTGTACCAACAAAGAAGGAACCGAGAAATCAATGCTCAATCGCGTAATAATCAATCGATGATCGATTTCGCCTCGAAGAATAACGTTACGATGATTTTCAATGATCGATATTCGTTCGATTGTTCGTAATTAGGCAGGAGTCAGGGTGGTCCTCTCCCCTCCATGTGCGAACCGCCCTCCTCTTTAAAATCTTATTTTAATAAAATTAAATATTTGGGCAGGAATGCAGTATGCGATGCAACTTTTAATTAGAACATTTGTTTAGGGTGAGTCAAGTTCCTTAATTTTACTAAAAGTTTAAATTTTGACATAATTTCTGATGAGAAACGTTTGGAGGACCACCCTCCTCTTAGATTCGATCAATTTTTAAAATTGTCATTAATCGATACCAACATAGTCCTTTTGATACTTAACGGATGATTTTCACTAGAAACTTACTAAGAATTAAAATTTAAATAAAATTTCAAATGCCACTTGTAACAAAAAATTAATTCACAGTATTTCAACTTCCTACGAGCAATAAATTATTCCTGAACAATCTATACGATCTAAAGAAGATTTCAATTCCCAACTTTGATACGTACCTTTAACGCAAAACGATCGAAAGAAGAAACGAATAAAGCACACTTGTTGCTCTCTGTAAATCACGAGAAAAGATAGAATCCTATAAAGTTAGGTGCACGAAACTCGTCTAATGACAATTTATATCGAGATCGACGAACACGGTTCACGATTATATGAAATAAGTTGAAAGAGGGAAATCGGCAAACCCTTAACGAGGCATAACGAAGGTGAATCGAACACGAACTGACCGCGAACCGCTGTCGAGCAACACTTTATCCCCGTCGTTGGTTATTTTTTCTACTTGTTTTACCGCGATTTGTGCCTACTACCAAGTCTTGTTCGCTAGAAGTCAGTGTCTTTGCCGAGAACTTTCAGGGTCGTTCTCCTTGTACCAAGTTACCATCGCAGTCACGAGCTAATCTGTCTAGTTGATCTTACCTTTTTTATTAAATCAACCTTACGGCTCTTCCCCTCTTGTTTCTTTACATATTTTACTAGAGCTGTTATGAAATTTTGAATATTTGATTATTATTAATAGAATTAAGATCTCAAATTAGAATATTCATAATTTTCCAACAATTTTCATTGGATATTTTCAAGTAAAAAATTCATATTCAAAGTATTTAAACTTTCAGAGTCATTAGTAACTAATTAGTAACAATATAATCAGTAACAATATAATTAGTGTACTGCTATATTATTTTATCTAGAAATATCATCTTCTCGAGTCTTTCACGACTTGGTATTTAAATTACTGAAATTTTTAACACCCTCCTTTCCTCTCAGTTATGAACTGCTCAGTTGAGCAATTAATATGATTAGTAAGCAATGATCCGCAACACGAGCATGAGTTACCTTTAAATAGCTCAATATTTTAAGATACACTTCAGTATTAGTGTGTTAACCCTTTATTACATGAATTTTTATGACGAGTTGAAAAAAATATGCATGTTAGTCTAATTAAAAATGAGTGTGGTCATGAAATAAATAATAAAATTTTATTAGAAAATTGCGCAATGTTCCCACTTGGAACCAACGTGTTTAGAGTCTTCAGTATTGTCTGCTTAATTTACTATAGAATATTTGAAATTTAAATTCCCAATTGGGAATGGAATGCAATGTAGGATTAATAGATCTCTGATGAAGAAGCTATCTAATATTATTCAGAGCTCAACTTCCATCCATTTTAACTTAATCTTGGGGTGTTCATTGATCAACAACATGTATCACTCCTTGGTATTAATATGAAGATAGACTATGAATGTAACTCACGTTTGACACTAATCAGACCATTACTCGATTTCAAATGTTTATGTAAATTCATCTTTTTATCTAATACTTTTTTTCTTGATGATTCTTGATGAGCAGCTTTACCTTAGTACCATATTTAAATTATACATATCCTGAATGGTTTAATTATAAACTATGACCGAAATGGGACTTTAACTAACGTTAAGACTACGTAGTTGGATTTGAGATTAGTTACTAAAATTTGCTTAAGAACTTCCATTTAGTTTGAATTGAAAAAAACTATATTTAAATGGTTATCAGTAAAACCATTTAATGTGGAAAATAAAAACCCAATATGAACGATTACCATTTTAATAAACTTCTTATACAAAAGGAGAAAAGAAAATAGATATTATAAAGTTTAAAAAAAACTTTTTAACCCTTAGTTGAAACTACAAATATATGTTATAACTCTAATACAAAGTATAATTGCATATTACAGTACTAGAAAAAAATAAAAGATTCTGTAATAATATTTAAGCAGCTTTACTTCCCAACACCATTTTAAAAATAAAATGTATGGAAATATATAAAGTTTGCTTCTTGATGAATTGCACTAAAAAACAATTTCTTTCGGTTTGTCATGTTTGAATATGGAAATAATGCAATTCATCAAGTGTAATTCGTAAAAATGCAATTTTGTTTGGAATCGAACATTTCATTTATAGCAGATCAAAAATGAGATACGTAATTGGAACAACTAAACCAGTCTTGACCCATGTGCTACCAGTTAAACATTTAACCAACCACCAGACAAGTCCTAATAGTCCACCTTGTAAAGCCAAATGAGCGACGAGTAGGCTGAAAACATTTAAAATAAGTACCGAAAATATAAATGATAACTTATACATTTTTTTTTAGTTAGTGCATACTCACACTTTGTCTTTAGAACGTGCTTTGGCCAATGTTTTCGGAGATTCCTTATTTAAATATGTCCTGACACCCTGTGTCAAATTGGCAAAGTAATCTTCCCACACTAGTGGTTTAATATCCATGTTGAAGAGTTTTTTATCAGTCTCTGATAGTGAATTATATAATTCAATCATACGAGGGTTATGAAACTTCCATTCCGTAAAAATAAATTTGTGTAAACGCCCCAATGAACCATTAACATTCTTATGCAATCGTACTAATCTGGAAACATCAGATCTCTATTACTATACGATTTGAAGGAAGTTGATATTTAATGTAATAAAAATTTCACGGTTTACAACTTACATTGGTCGTCCTCCTGTTATAATCGTAACAGCATCCAAAATATATGCAGGAATCATATGTACAAAGAATGCTGAAAGCCTGAACCAGAAAATTGTAGACACTAACTTAATATGTGGATACCAAATTGCACTTAACAACGGGAATGAATGTAAATAATGATTTATTTTGTGATTTATAGTCGTCCATCGAAATGGATTAACTGTACTAGATGTACAATGATACACTTTTAATTCTTTTCCCCTGTAATAAAGATATATTTTATTATTATCTTGTACAGGCTGTCTTAACAAGAGTAATAAAATTTTACTGTACCCATCTCGATCAACGGCATACGCTGCAGTGATAATATTGTTTATAACAATATCCACTGGAATGTAATCATAAATTATATCTTTTCCAATAGGTAATCTTCTTACAACACCTTTAGCAGCACCCATTAAGAATCCTTGTGGACCATTTTTTGATACCGTCCATCCAGGGACTGGTTCTTTCCATGCTGCTGTTACTATAAACATAACATAGATTTTATTATTAGTAGAACATATTTAAGGATTAAAGAACAATGTCATATACAATATACGTACTCATGGAAGGACGTACAATAGCAGCAGGAATACGTCCATTTTTAACCTCATGTTCAGCTAAATGTTTTGTAAATGTATATGAATTTGGATGATCCTTCAATATATTTGGTGTTTCTGCTATTAAGGAGGCATCATCCAATTTTTCCACCAATCTGAGCAGCTCATTTACATCGAATGGAGCTGGATATACATGTTCATCTGCTTCGCTTAATGCAGAATTGACATATGCACTAGAAATATGTACAAATGCCTAGAAAAAAAAAATTCAATTAGAAACAGTTACAGTTTTGATTAACATAACTGCAATCAACAATAATCAGAAATGTTACTATTTTTTATATATATGAACTAGTTTACCTTCAGGTCTCTTATTTCTTGACAAAGTTCTACAACTCTGCGTGTACCCAGCAAATTAATACTTGTGGTAGTTTTTAAATCAGCTTCAAAATCTAATGTTGCTGCAGAATGAAAAACAATTTCCACTTCTCCAACCAGAGTCAATCTATCTGCAGATGATAATCCTAAATTTTCTTGTCCTACATCACCTCCAATAGCAATTAATTTTTCGAAAAGATGAGTCTTATTTTCTTCTCTTAGTCTGTCAAACACCTAAAATTACAGTACAATATAAAAGGTAATTCATTTTTTAATTTTTCACACGAGTAACGAAGAACATGTTAAATTATAGTGAAATTGCCGGTGCGGCAAAAACTGCATAGATAAAAAACATGATATTTTTCGTACCGAATTCTTCTTCAATTCTTCTAATCTTTCCTCTATTTGTTTTCCCTTCTTTGGTCGTAGCAGTAGATAAATATTTTTTAAATCAGGAAATGATCGTAGTAATTTCTCGATTAAACTAACACCGAGAAAACCAGAACCTCCGGTAAGAAATATAGTTTTGCCGTTGTAAAAGTCAGTTACATTCGAAACCATCGTAATCTGTTTTATCCTTTAAACTCTATTAAAAGTGCTATTTATAAATACAAAAACTGTATAAAAAATTAATGATCAGATATATTTGTATCAACGCAAATAACGCACATAAAACTAACAGCTCAGCAGGCTCGTGTATCGAATACTGACAGCGAAATTCGTAAAATGGCACAGAAAACCTATATAAATTACTGACGATGGTTGGGGGGATAAGGTAGTGTGAGATGTAAAGTAATTACGATATAAAGGTTAATAAACTGAATACATATAATAAATATCAATCGGATAAAATCGGAAATATTGTCTTTTAACTAATAGCATATATATGAGTAATAAGTAATAACATATTATCGTAAGAACATCTTCGTCAATTTTGTCACGTGACTTGGATTGAAACGCCATGTTGAAACTCCATATCACATGTATTTTCCCCACACCTTAACATAATATTTCTTTTTTTTTTTTAAATAATTATTTTGTGATTTTCCATTGAATCTCAACTTTGCATACCATTTGAATTGTTTTACCATTAATTTTTTTTAAACCAAATGAAAAGTAAAAAATACAATAATTATATTAATTCACAGTTTTTGAATTGAAAAAATTTAAACACAAAATAATACCAATAAATTTAAATCGGAATGATACGAAGAAAAAGAAAAATTCAGGTTCAATTAATCAAACAGTTGATTATATTCCTTATAAATATTCAATTAGCTCAATTTCTCGTAAAAAATGTTTCGTATGTTGTGGAAAACTGGTTTACAGTTAATTCACAGTTATATTATAATTTAAACAGTTAAAAAATATTGAATGATATTTCATATTTAGTTCTACGGTGTCCTAGAAAGCAAAATAGAAATTTCGTAAGAGGTGTTCTAGCAAATCTAATAATTAGTAATCTGAGAAACACTGCTAGCATCCCGTAGAAAGTATAATCTCTTGGTTTACCATTTGTGTTTCTCATTTAACAGTGAAATTTAGTCTTCTAGAAACGTAGAGTCTGCATATATGTATGTAAGAAACATCTCTGCTTTCATGTCGTTGTAAGGTTTACAGACTCTAAGCAATGATTTCGTGCATAAATGCAGGACTTCGACCGGTATCGTCATTTCTAAAAAAAAAAAAAATTATTTTACATATTCGTAAAATGTAATTTTTCGATTATATTGTGTAACTGTGCATACAAAATAAAATGTGCGGTTTGAGACATTTTGTCCGATCGGCAAAATTACCATCCGCAAGCAATATTGAAGATCGCTGACAGATCATATTATTCGACAAATAATTTCAATCTATAATACTTGCAGCCTAAATTTTTAAGAAATGAAAATTGATTATATATTTCTCGTAATAAGAAATTTCATAAATTTTGCAACAGATTATTATTTAATTGTATGCTGCATGTGTCGAAAAATATATTAGTAATTTATGTGTGTTAAATGTTCTGACGCAAACACAGTGAAACGTGTCGAAGAAATACTCTCAGAATGATTTCTCATTTTCAAGATATTTGCTTTTCACTAAATATTTTTCATTTACATTTTATTTTGCATGTCACACGAAGAAGGTAGTTTTAATGTTCAACGTGCAAAGATAAAAGTTCCTGTCCCAACACTTGACATTACTAAAAACATTATATAAATATAAATTCATTTCTTTAAAATCCTATATTGATCTTTGCACTGCATAAATAAAAGTTATGAAATAGAAGGAAGTACATGAAACATCTGTGCGGAAAACGATAACTATGTTTTTGTATAATGTCGACTAATTTACGTCGTGGAAAATTAAAAATTTAAATACAGAAGTGTACAATCTCATTTGCACCTTATTTTCTTATTTATCATTCAACGTTGTATTTAATTGGAATCGTTCCCGCTAGATGTCAGATCAATAGGTGTCGTGTAAGTGAAATAAAAACTTGGAAAAGAAGTCTAAAACGTAAAAAAATAATTTCTTAGTAATGACATTCATAATATTGCGATAAATGCTTCGTCATTACTCTACATTTTAGTTACTGTCAGTAATATAGTTACATTAACAATTCTTATGTATTTTAAATAACGAACTAATAATTTATGTTAATAGCAAAAACATGACAGTAATATTTTGCTGTTTTGTATTTTACTGTGTTAAAAATTAAAATAAGTATTTGCGTAAAAATAGAATGTCGATTTATTCTGAATTTTTTTGCTGCCCCTTAAGATTGATGACCCGTTTAGCACCCGAGGCGATTGGGTCTACGATACATTTTTCATTCTTTTTCAACACCCCAAACAAATTTAATTACCTCGTTGAATATTTAAATACCATCTTGAATATTTATTTTCATGATTCATAGAAACTGGTATGACTGCACAGAAATACCATCTATGGAATGTGCTAATTGTAACTTGAATGCGATAATTAGTATCGTAAACTATTCGTAAGAAAACAATCAGCAATCATTGGTACATGGAAGTGACATTAAAGATTTCGAAAGACAAACAATCTATTCATCCTAACCAATAAACAATTTTCAATTCATCCTAATATTACAGAAATAAAACATGAGCGAATAGTTTTTCCTAGTCAGTACGTTTCTTTTTCAGGTGTGATCACCTGAATAATTAATGAGTCGAACTTCACATTAATGAAATTACAAAGATGTAACTGCAATTGAAGTTACGTGTGTTGTTGATAGTTATTGAATCGATAATTATAGTCTTACTAGAGCTAACTGTGAGTCAATTTTAGATTAGATAAAAATTTATGCTTAGCAACTGAAAGTGTGCTCTAAAAATAAGAAACCTTATCTATTCCTCGAAACAATGATTGCAATCAAATATCATTTAGCAACAAAATTTTATTAATCCGTATTAAAGAAAGAGTCGTTATTGTTAAGAAATTGGAATTACTATTCATTAAATCTGTAATGAAAATTTGCATAATTGCAACTAGTAACTCCTAGAAACAAGTGCATAAGAAAATGTTAGAATAAGTAATTGCATCTATTAAAATTACTAAAAATGATTAGAACATCTTTTACAAATTCAATACAAATAATAAATCAAATTACCCTTAATGTTACAGGTTCAAACATTGCTGTACCTGTTTATCTGCGATGAGGCTGTGGAAAGTACAATAAAGTATAAGAATAATGGATTGAATCGTAAGGGTGAGAATATGTTTGAAGGAGAAGGGAAAAGTGCAGAGGCTTCTAGTGACTTTTCACGGGAAACAATTGTCTTGCCTGGGGGGATTTGGCGGTTGCCCCAAGATGGCGGACACGGTTGGCGTGCGACAAGCACGAGCTGAAAAGTGCCGAGAACGCGAGAAATTGACGATTCTGTGTTAAATCGGTTACGTGAGTTTCATTCGTGGACAGCTGAAGGATCGTCGAGGAAAAAAAACAAGCTCGGATAATATAGGTATGTGAGAAATCAGTGACACGATAGAGTTTTCTCTCGGTACGGGGTGAAAAGCCGCGCCTACTATCGTGCATCACGATGTCATGGGATGCGATTCAATCGCTTTCTGTTTCACGGTTTCACGAATACGACAAACATTGCCTCTTGTAGATGAATAGAATTGTTCAAAGAACGCTCCTTGACAAGAAGAATCGCGATCGTGTTACGAAAATTCCTAGCAGGGATAATCGAGGTTGATCCGTGAAAATCGAATGGTCGATGGTACGGCCGACTGTTCCTCTCGATTATCGTACCGTATATTTTCCTAGTTTTCCTAATTAATAACAGAAACTCATTTTGATCGACCGTTATTGAACTTATACAATTCTGTACGATCCTAGCTGCAACAATTTCCCGCCGTAGCCGTGAAAAGTAACGCAAGAAATTTGTCGTGTGCAAACTGCAGCAGTCTTTACCCTCATCCCTGATAAAACCTTTTCTCAACTGATATACTGGAGGTGGTGGCTAGTTTCTAGTATACGTCACTTTTCACCCTGTTGTCGAGGATATCTCTTTGCTTCTTTGATTCTGCATCAAAGTCGTTGATTACCGCCGCTTTTGACGCATTGTCTCGACCAGTGTTCGTGTGCATATGCGAGCGTGTAGTTGTATATGCGCGCGTTTCTTCGGTGTGCGCAATATGAACCCGCATGCCGGTTCACCGTGTAAAATGCTCCTAATTAATAATTATGGTTTTTCATCTTATACAGTCATTCACGTGTATGACTGATCTTTGAAGAATCTGTCCCTGGACTCTGATGCAACTTCTGGTAGAGGATCCAGGGATAGAGTTACTCTGCCAATCACGCGATGTCGCGTGCTCGATCATCAACGCTAAATGTCCGATCACGCGATATCGCGGGCTTGATAGTCGATACTAACTGTGATACAAAACTACCAATCCGCGGCTGACCTATGCATGTCACAGTTAAATTAATATTATTAAGTTTTATTATAACAGAAGGATTAATGCGTGTTTACATTTTCGCTATTACATAATTCGTAATACAAATCTAAAAATAATTGTCTTCTGGCTATAAATAATTTCGATAAAAGAAAGAATGAAATTGCAAATCAATTTTTCAAATCGAACAGAGAACGGTGAGTGAACGGACACGTGGACGAGTCGAATAAAGTTGAATGAAACGATTCGTTACACGAAACAGAAACGAAGAAAGAAAGATTTCCAAATGATCGGCGACGATTTTCATTTCTCGCCCGGAAGCTTTTTATCCGGACTCGGTAAATCCGTGGAATGTGATCAATACCGTTACGCGTAAAAGGGTTGTCTTCTCGACAAGGGTTCCCCGGATTGGCACGTTCAACCAACGTGAAATCTTTAACCCTTCGAGTACGATGAACCCATACATATGCCTTCGAAGACGTTTATCGTGGCCAAGGAATTGACGCGTCGCAGACTGACGCACCACGTGCGTCCTAGTTAACGACGCCTTATAAAGCACTCGAAAATCTATGAAATTCATTCAAACGGTTAGAACCAGAGTCCATAACTATGTAATGCATTCTTTGAAGGTTATACCAGCGTTGCAATATTGCCATGAATGATTTACATAACGCAACATAAATACTAACTTTATTTAGAGTGAGATAGGGATCCCTAGATTCAATAATTCCAGATTCAAAAAATTATACTAGTTCGATATTTCACTATTGAATCTCATCGTGTATAATCAAACGACTCATATTAATTATGATGGAAATCTTATTTCCAATACTAATGGTAAAATGATGTAATAGAAAGAAAAAAATGATTTCATGTCCTCAAATAAGAAATGGGATAATTAGGAAATTCGATGGTCAATGCTTCAGGGAAAATCCACGTACGAGCAAATATTTAAAACAGGTACAATGATTTTTGCACCGTTGACCCGTATTTGCCTAGACTTCGTACGTTTTTCTTTCTACGCTCATTATCGTTTTCCAGGCGATACCTTATTATTACCATAGTACCGTGGTTTTCTTTTACGATTACGCGACTTCTACGATTTACTCCATTTCAGTTATCATTGTAATTTCACTGGCATTCGGTATCTCTCTTTCTTCCTCATTATTTAATTTAATTACCAGTCATGCTCCTGATAATGGCATTGAGAATTTCCCATCATTATTTGGTAGTTAGTGGGTTAATTAGAATGGCATTACCGCTTGCGTGTTGAAAGTGATCCTCTGATTGTTCATCATCGTTACTGTACAATGATTCCACTTTCATGGATTCAGAAATGGGAAAATACCTCTTTAATTGCACCCTATTATATGCAATGTTTTTTTTTTTACAATCACGATGTTATTTGCACGTTGGACGTTTAACGATTGTTTCGTAAAACGATGCGAAGAAGAAAAACGACAAGTTGTTGACTTTTCAGCCACGTTATTTCGTAAGAACACGAGTATATGTAGTTGCTTATTCTTGAATCACCTCAAACCAGGTGAGCTTGCGATGACGTACAAATTTGTTTTCTTTTCGTGTTAATATTTATCATTCATAGATTATTATTCAGGAGTGGATAAAGGTGCCATTTTCCAAAAATCAATTTTTTTATTACAAAGCATCACTGTATTTTTATTTTCCTTCATTTGTCTCATAAATATTTTTAATATAAAATTGCTATTCTTTTTTGTTTTTTTACGGTTGGTTTAATTCTTTACTGACTGAACGTATGGTTTTAAGTTTGGTAAGAAATAAGTACCACGTTAAACTAACTATTTCGTTGTGACAGCGATTGCATCCGTTTTACTTTCGTTGACCACTCTCGTCTAAAAAGTCGATGAACAGCCTTGATCCAAATGTTTAACTTATGGCTGCGTTAGAGAAGAGAAAGAGGAAATAGAAAAACTGTTTGGCTGCGTTTGTGCATGAGGTGGTGTTATGAGTTCATAGAAACTTTGGAATAATTCATTTTAAATATATAATAGGTTCAGTCATTTTGTAATATTTCGAAATAAAGAAAAATATCTTCTCATTCCTTAAGGAGTTTAATTAATAAAATATATAAATGTGAGAATAAATCAATACGAAGTCACTTTCATAGATGCATCATTGATTACTGAAAAGTGCCTCGAAGCAGTACATATTAGTTTATTAGAGCGTGATTGAAAATAGGGGCGACTAATGAAGGAAAATGATCGAGCCATCCGTGGCTCGTTTATATTTTTCATAAATCGTATCGTGATTAATTTTTTTTTTTTTTTTTTTTTTTCATTTATCATTTCATGACATAAAAGTATCACAAAATGCCACTTATAATATACCAATTTAAAGCTTAAAGTTTGAAGAAAATTACTATATAAATGCTTTATTAATATTCTTAACATAAAATAATTCATTTTTCATTGGAACAGCAGATTAACCAACCGACAACTTAGTATAGTTTTTATCAAAGATCCACCCATTTTGTATGAAATAGATTAATAAAACATTTATGTAGTCATTTTCTCCAGACTTTAAGCTTTAAATTGATGTACCATTAGTGCTAGTTTGTGATACTTTTATGTTATGATATCCATCATCTGATGCGCAGTAGCCTAATTCATAGAATGTACATTTCTTTGATATCTTTTAGATCGTGTTCTTAATTTGAGGAGCATCTGTTTTCTATGTTCGGTAGTAAGAAAAGAGATCAAGGCATTTTGAGTACAATGGCAAACGTTACCAAACGATCGTTTCAATACACAACATACTCTATACGTATCCATCAGTTGCATAATGGAAAACTTTATGAAAACGTTTGCATACTCTGCATACTAATCTTTCAGCAACCCTTTTAACTTGTTCATCTCAGGAACGTGTTGCATCGCGATAATTAATCGATCAAATTCAGTGGGATTTAGGACGTTATTTGGTAATTTGTAATTTCAAAGTATCGATGAGGTGAGGCAGTGATGGGCTGTGATGAGTAGTCGATAGTAATCAATTTGGAAAGCTGAAAATTTGTGAGTTGGAAGATGAGGAAATTTAGAAATTTGAAGGCCCGGAAATTGGGGAATTTGAAAATAGAAAAATCGGGGCTGAGAAATTGAGAAAATTGAGAGGAAATGTGATACTTTTAGATTTCCAACTTTGAAATATGAATAATTTGCAACTCATCTCCCATCCTCCTCTAGAGGAAGATTCACCATCGAAAACAAAACGGAGGTTCATTGTCTCAAAGTTCAATGAAGGATCGGTGTATCACTGGTGGATGTAAGTAGATGTGTCAATAAAGGGGAAGACATGGTGGGAGAAGTTGTTCCTACCTCTCGCAAGGTATAAGGAACTCTGGTTGGCCACAGGTAAGCTCAGTTCACCTTTCGTTAGTTGGCTCGTCTTTTAAAGTGGCTGGCCCACATATCAACCCTTTTAGTAATCATATCGACACGCATTGTCGTACGTGGCGAACTTACGTACGAAAGTTCCGTCGGGTTTTTTTTTTATCAGCCATACATCTGTTTGTTAACATACTTGGATTTTTCTACTTGTTTCGGTGAGTTCTCGCGTTTTGACCGACACAGTGAAATGGACACGTTACTAAGGATACAAATAATTAATTTTTAAATTGAATACCGCTAATTTTGCTGTGATTTTGGCAATATGCATACGACTCAATTAATGTTATTATAATAAAATAATAATAATATTAATATCGTTAAGATCAAGGGAAATCCATAGCGTCTTCAGTTAAGCTTACAATTTTCTACCCTGTAATAGTACTGTTATTCCATTTTTTTCTTCTCTATTTTTAATTATTACACTTGTGGCAGATTACGTGTTAAGCTCAGAGTGGTTACACAGAAGATATTAATCATTCATGACATTAGTCATTACGTGACAACTGAGTTTAGTGTACTTTAAAGTATTACACGTATTCTGAGCAATTGTCATACGTCTTAAATTTGCGGTTCCTTTTTCTTTTTTTTTTATACTGAAATGGATAACGGTTGCCATTCACGTAACTGCTCATTTA